CATGTATCAGTTTTGCATAAAATCGGCGGCCATATTGGACGCCATCTTGAACATTTATAACCTGTGTTGGTATCGCCTGTTAACATACGATATAGTTTTTTTTTCTTCGTTTTTTTTTGTTTTGTTAATTCAGTATAATGACGCGGAAACCCTCTCTCTATATGTATATACTGCATAACTAATCGGGGGCCCCGCTCGAGATCTGGGTGGGACATGCAAATTATATATTCTCCGTTTAGTATTGAATACTCCCACAAAGTTTGATTGAAATCCAGTCAGTAATTGCCGAGAAATTGCGCAGAAACAAAATTCGGACAGAGGACTAATGGGCTGATGGACAGACGGACAAAAGCAGTACCTCCCACCTCTCGATCTCATAATTATTATAGACGTTGAAATAAGACTATTTTTCAAAACGGCTTAAATTAAGTTTTTTTCATATATATGATCAGTACATGTTCTGGGATTGACAAATATACATTTATTTGGCACCCCAAGTGTCTGTGAGATTCCTCACATGAAAGAATCGAAAGTCCTTGTCAAGATTCGAACCCACAGTGGTGAAGGCCAATTGTTTTGAAGTCAACGACCTTAACCACTCGGCCACAGACACTACAGGACAGTCTTTTGTATTAGTTTTCTTAATCCTCTCGTATATCAGAACAGACACCGTGATAATTCACGTGTGTTAAGAAATTCAACTACCCGACAGTTCAGTTCAGTTTACATTATACGAGGGATGATCAAAAATTAACCGGACTTCGTAAATGATTCTTTGCCTGTTAAATGAATTTACATAAAAATTCACGGAACATAAATCGGAATCTATCCCCTAAATGATACAAAAAATACCAATAAGAAGTATAAACAAATAAAAAAGTTATGCTGCTATTGGCATGTACATGTAAAGCAATGCGGCGCACGGTATATCTTTCAAATTGACGTTAACGACGTCACACGCGTATTTTCCTTTACGGAGCAGTTTTTCTTTACTAATTCACGGAGTAGGCCAATACGTGGTACAGTCATGTTGTTGATACGGCGGATCCACTGCCTATATTTATTTCTGTACAAGTGGGTATCACATTGTATTATAAAAGAATGGATACTGATAAAGAGCTCCTGTAATGACGCAATTTTCCGTTATTTCCTTCTGTAACTTGATTGTTGGAAAAATTGCACATGCAATAATCTATATTATGTATTACAAATAATGTGAAATAATGTTGCTGAATGATAATGTATCATACATAAGAAAAAAAAATACAACTATGAGCAAAATTGTCATTATTTTAAAATAAAAAAACGCATAGCCGATTTTGAACAGTGATTATCTTATTGTTGACAATATTTCTCTATAACACTTCTGCCTAAAATAAGAAAAAAAATGATACAATTGTAAACAAAGTATACAATATATGTAATTAATGCATTAACTATTATCATTTTAAAATCCTTAGAGCTGACTGCACAGTGCCGTAGCTACTGTCGAACATCGTTGACAATGTCCGCAGTCAATCGACTGTCATTTTTCAACGTCTTGGCGATTGACGTCCCCAACGTCCTTGAACATTTCTTTTTTTTCTGTCTCTCCCTTTCTTGTTTTCTATTTCTCTATTACCTTTTCTTATTTTTTTATGCTAATCAAAAAATATGCTGTGGCTTTCTCGAACTTTTTCCTTGATAGCCTTAAGCTTTTTCTACGTTTTAAACAGTTTCGCGTCTTACTTTTGACAACTTTTTCTTATTGATCGATTTTCGAGACATTCCGACGACATAGTTTTAACGGGAGTATTTCATGAACATGTGACGTTTGAATTGTGATTGCAAAGATAAATATGATTTAAATGAAGTCATTTTTACTGACAAAGTCAAAGATATGGTTCATAACGTTTTGGCTTATTTCAAAATCTAAATGTGCCGTATTGTAAAATATAGGCAGCTTAAAGCGCCTGATGTCAAGGCGAATTTACGCACTGCGCCGGGTAAGCGTTACCATGGTTTTTGAATTCGCTGTTACGGACAAATTATTTGCGTTATCAGATTAGATAAAGCATCAGTTTACAGGTATTGTTTTCCGATTAAGTTTGATATATAACAATAAGTGATAGATTGAAAATTCTTCAATTGACAGTCACAGTCCGGTTTATTTTTGATCATCCCTCGTATAGAAAAATCAGGATTGGTTTTAAAGCGGAAAAAATGTGCGTTTCGTCATTTACATTTAGCCAATGGTGTGTACTTTCAGTATAATGACGCGTTGATGTGAACAATGTAGACCTATTATCAATCACTGGTAAAATGGTTCACTGATTTTATAAGCCGACACCCTCTAAGTTTGTTGTTGTTTTGTTTTTTTTGTAAAGCCTTGCATTTAAAATGTGATATTGAAATAATATTTTTCGCATTAATGTGTTTAAAGATACTCTTTTTGTTGTATATATATCCATCCAAAAGATTCATCAGGCGGGTCGCCAGAAGCGGGATGTGCCCCCTTCTGTTTGGGGGGTTTGAAGGGAGGCGGTAGTGACCCTCATCGCCAAGAAAATTTTGGACTTGTGAGAGGCTAAAAATGACCACATGCCGATCATAATTTAACGTGTAACCTACGCTGAAAATCCTTTGACATTGAGTAGTTGCAGCACTTTGCAATCAATTTTGATGGAACAAATCAACGCAAAATAGTGATGTTTGACAGTTTTGAGATGTCCCCTCATTGTCATGGTAACAGGAAATTTACGACTGAGCATGTCGTTACAAAGGCAATGGTCCAGTCAACACTTGTGCCAAGTTTGATTAGTATCAAAGCATTTTGATAGTTTTATAGCAATTTGATCTTTTCAATGAAAACAGCCATTTTTCACAAAATGCCCATGAAATAATGTGTTAATCTAACCCGGTGTTTGACGTATAATTCTAACTTACACCCTTCCTACATTTTCATGCAAGTCAATTAATTATTCATTGAAGGCAAATTAAGTCTCAGAAATGAATACATTTTTTTCTGTAGAAAGGTAAAAAAACATGCTTTATAATAATGATTGTTTAGGAACAAGTGAGATGTTTATCACTGGAAGAAAAATAATTCCTAATGTGAAATAATTTCTGATAAAGGTAGCAGTACATGCAGTATATAAACAAAAAATTTATCTTCATGTTTTTTCCTCTTTTTTTGGGTGTGTGGGGGGGGGGGGTAACATCGCACCAACACAGTTAACGTAATATGGCAACTTTCCAGTTTTACTAGTGGAGGAAGACCTCAGGTGCATATCCGTGCATTATTTCAGGCACGATCTGGCATCTCAGTAGAAGCACCGATATTTCGTAAGCTAGCTGAATAGCCTCATTTCATAAAAGAATACAAAGTCCCGGGCGGAAATCGAACCTACAGTGGCAAGGGACATGTGGTTGGAAGTCGACGACTTTAATCGCTCGGCCACGGACGCCCAATACAAATACTCAATCACTGTAAATTACAAATTGCAAAAACGCAAAAGAAGCAATAGATGGCTCAGATATAACTGTAACAGGACATAAAAATAAAAAGCCTTTTATTTTAAAATATTAGCATTTTATTTGAGAATTGATAAGCAACGAAGACCAAAGGATTGGCACTAAAATGGCAAACAGAAAGTTCCATACTCAAGGTTGAATGATTATATCTGCGATTGTTACTTGAATTAACCTCTTCAGATTTAAACGTGCAATATTGCTTACTTCGGTGCTTTAGGCGTGCACTAAAGCATGCAAAAACACTGCTGCCCACAAGCAGGGTTTACCTCACAGATACTGTGCAATGTGTTCGTTCTGATCTCGTTTGGTACTAGTATTTTGTTATGTTTTCATTATGCATTATTCAATGAACAGGGTATAAAATAAACAGATGCCACATATTTTTTAAAATGACCATGTAAAAATAAAAAAAGAACAACAAAGAACAGGAAAAAAGATACAAAAGATACCTAAAATATTACATTGTTTAAGAGTAACTTTTACCATACTTTCGAGTAAGATGACTTCCTTTTATCATTTTCTCACATCATATTGTGTTACTTTAAGATCTATTAAGCCTCAAAAATGCGATTGTTTATGTTTCCCAAAAGCATTATTAAATAATGTAATTACAGATTCAGAAATGCCACTCTTTTAACATGCCATATACGAGTACATAGCTTGACAGTACCCAGCTTTTACAGAACAGAGCAGAACAGAACAGACTTTAATTTACAGATTTATACATATGTACATCGTCTTGTTAACAAAAGATTTGATTAGACATAGTCACATGGCATGCAAAAACATTCAAATCATAAACAACATGTTTAAATAAATAAACAATGATTAAAGAGGACAAACTTTATGCAAGAAGATAAAAACAATTCAATTATGTTTAGAGTTAATGATTGTGTTTCTCAACGGTAAAGATTCTTTGATATATTTTGATAACTTAATTAAAACAGTTTTACTTTGCGTTGAAAGTAGATCTATAAATTTAAGCACAGAAGGTCTAACATAATAACATTTTTTAAGATACTGCATTCGAAGACTATTAAAACAAGGGCATACACATATAAAATGATATTCATCATCTATGTCAAATGTATTGCAACATAGACAATATCGCTGATCACGAGGTATATTATTCCTATTGTATCTCCCAGTCTGTATTCTTAAAGGATGTACAGATAATCTAAATCTACAAAAATAATATCCATATTTACAAGGCAGAATATCAAGATAACTTTCATAACCAAAATTAAGCTTAAAATTATTGTAATTAAACAAAACTGGGCTACGTTCTAACGTAGCTGTCCATTCTTGTATTAAAGTGTCTATAACTCTACGTTTAAAAATGATAGGGAACACTTTTGATTCAACGCAATTTTCATTAAAAATTTCAGCAAAACCATAATTACAGAGTAGCTTTTCAACATTTGAATTCAAATTGCGGTGTCCTTTATTACAATCAGATAAACCATCTTCATACATAGTTTTTAAAACAATATTATCAGTGTTTTTCAACTTACGCCAAAACTTGACAATTCTTACGTAACGAGTCATATACAGCGGATAACGCCCCAACTCACCATATACTGCAGCAGAACAAGTATTCGTTCTAACATTAAGCAAACGTTTACAAAATTTTAAGTGGATTCTTTCCAATTCTTTAGATTTCGTGTAACCCCAAATTTCAGACCCATATCCTAAAATAGACCAAATGAAAGCATCAAATAATTGACATAATATCTTAGGTTTAAGATCAAACTTTTTACAATTGTAAATCAAAACATTAAGAGCTTTTAAAGATTTCCCTACCAAGTGTTCCGGTTAAGCGAAAAATTGCTTGTATAATTAAAAAACAGTACCTAATTTTCCAAAATAATTAAAAACATTCACAACTTCGTAAATTTGGCCATCATAGGTCCAGTTCTCATTTTGCAATAACCCCCCTCGTTTTCGAAAAAAGAATTACTTTTGGTTTGCTTGTATTTACTTTTAATCCCCATGTAGAGCAATATGAATGTAAAAGATCCAAATGGTTTTGCAGTTCCAGTGACTTGCCTAAGACGGCCATATCGTCAGGAAATAACAATAAAATCAAAATAACATCATCAAATGAGAGTCCTGATTCATGATCAGTTTGCAAATATAACTCTAAATCCTCTACAAAGAGAGAAACTAAAATTGGTGAAATAACCTCCCTTGTCGTAATCAAATAGCATAATAAAAATAATCAGAATAATTCGAACAAGATTTGACACAAGATTTAACTTTTTGATACATGTCTCATATAATACGCAGCAATTTACCTTTTATTCCTAATTTATACATTTTCAGCCATAGTGCATTTCTATATATACTGTCAAACATTTAATCATATCGACAAAAACAACATATAAACGTTTATTTTCATTAACAAATTTTTGAATTAATGACATAAGAACAAAAATTGCATCGGTAGTAGAACTCCCTTTACGGGAACCAAATTGTGCATCTGAATATGATATTGTTACTTTCACAAAAGGATTCTATTTTAACATTAAGTAGAGTGGTAAATAATTTTGACAAACAACTAACTAATATTATGCCTCTATAGTAATTGACGTCATCAGTACGTCCCTTCTTATGAAGATGGATAATAATTCCCTCTGTCCATTGTTCTGAATAAAAAAATAGAGTTTAACACAACATTAAATATATCACATATATGGGCACCTAAAATATCGATGCTTTCTATGAAGTATTCATTCATTGAACAATCACTACCTAATGATTTTCCACGTTTAAACATTTTTACGGCATTTTGAACTTTATTTAAAATAATCGGTTTATCTAACTCATCATACTCATAGAGTATTTGTCTCATCAAAACAATAATCTTCACAAAATTTTTCAGCCTCAATATTGTTACATTTTGATAAATCATTACTTAGATTAGCAAAATATTCTTTAAATATAGCTATTGGAATATTGCTATTGTCTGCAGTCGACTTATTTCTAAAATATTTCCAAAACTGCTTCGGTTTCCTTTTTTTAAATTTTCTATATCGAACATCTTCTTACAATAATATATTCTTTTCTTTTTGCGAAAATACTTTTATATTCCGTTTTATATTTACACAAATTTATTCTGTTGATATCATTATTATTTCTATTAAAACCTTTAAAGCATCTAAATACAAAGTTCTAGCATTGATACATTCTCTATCGAACCAGTCAGAGTAATCTATACACGAGCTATCACTTAAATAGACGTTATCGTTAAAACTAAAACATTTACCAAATACTATTAATGAATCTGCTACATTGTGTAACACAGATGTTAAACTATTTAATATACTATTTACACTGTCACGGTTGGACAAATCAATATTATCAATAATACTGTTAAAATTTAAAAATAAAAGAAATGACTTTTGAATAATCTTCACATGAAATAATGAAATAAATGAAAAATAAATGCGTTGATTGAGGTCAAATTTCTCACAAATAAAAATATCACAGTTGATTTATTTTAAAAATCATTCAATACACATTTAATCACAATAAACAAGACAAACCTGAAAACATATTATGATGTTATTCCGCACAAACGCAACGTTTTAATGACAATGAGAGAGAAAAAACCCTGTCATTTTAAAAAGAACCAAACATGCCGAAGTTGTACGAAATTTGCCGAAGTTATACAAAGTTTATCGAAGTTTTGATACGAATTAAGTTTGCCAAAGTTATACGAAGTTTGCCAAAGTAATGCGAAGTTTACCGAATTTATACGAAGTTTGTCGAAATTAAGGCAACTAAGTTGCTACCATGAACCATCCAAATAGTGTATTTTCAGGAAGTAAATATTGTGGATAACGTAATTTTATGAAAAGTCTGTCGCCTTTCTTTAAATGGTGAATTGATCCAAGCTGATTTGCATGTCTGACGTCACCAGTAGTGTTAGTAGGAAAACATCTTTGGACTACTTCATCTAGTGGACTTTCAGTGTCATCCTTTTTAGTTTTATAAATTGTATGTACGATGGTAAACTCTTCTGACTCGTCTTTGTATGCCGGAAGTTTATAATGTACTCGGCTGTACACATAATAATATCCAGTTTTTGGAACATTTATTTCGTCGTCTGTAACATTGGATCTTATTTTCCCAACACCTGGCATTTTTTGCCAAATAATTTTTGTATGATTTTTGTTTCCTACAAATAGAGAAGAAAAATAGATACGCCAATGATGATTAACGTTTACAATTTAAACGAATTTTGTTTGTTTTGTTTGGTTTGGTTTAACGACGCACCAACACAGTTTAGGTCACGAAATAGGAAAGATTATTTTGGCTAACATCGTGTGTTTCAATACATGGCTATACTACCCATATTTAATATATTTAATCAATAATACATGTATATACCAACATGAGGTGTTCACATCTGTATTATATTTGTGATTCAGTAACATAAATATGGTATTTATATATATCAAAGAATACAATTGTCACAAGGTGAGAAAAATGTGCAGCCTGACCTGGACTCGAACCCGGAACCCTCGGAATACCGTTCCGCGGCTCTACCGACTGAGCCACCTGGCCGCTTACACATCTTCTCCCCTAACTAGTGAACAGTTCTGAACCGTGACACAATATTTATCTGTTACATGAAAAATGTATTTTGTATACCAATACACCGCTTATATATATGGAACGGTATTAACGCAAAAATTACGTTACATTGTGCTTTCTGACTTGTACATCTTGGATTCTTACTATTACATTTTGCATTATGACATACACACAATGATTATGACTTGTACATCTTGGATTCTTACTAATACATGTTGCATTATGACATGCACACAATGCATTTTGGCTTGCACATCTTACATTATGACTTGCACATTTTGCTTTAAATTGCACGAATCGTTCGTTTTTTGACTATCTTCAAATTTGTCTACGTTAAAGTTATATGTTTGATGCTAAAATCAGTTCAGTTTAATTATAATGATCGTAAACTGTCTACATTTAATGTGTACAAAAATAGGAAACCTATATGTTAATCGATTATACATGTATAAAAAATACATGAAAGCACGCACTGTATGCAATACAACAAGGCAAATTGCAAACTACACTCTTTTTTACGACAGAGGGCGCATGTTCGGAAACATGTATGGGACCATACGGAAATTACCGAAAATATACGAGTATCCGGAATATCGATCACCTTCCATACCCAAGCACTTCGAACAACTGTTCTATTATTTAATCATTTTGTTGATAAAAAATAATTCTAAAATCACTGATTTGGAAATTTGCAACTTTCAATTGTAATAAATATAATTTAAAACTTGAAATGTTTTCACGTTAGAAAAAAAAGAGTAAAGTAAGGGAAACAAAGATTAAATTTTTGCGTTAATACCCTTCCATAAATTATTTCCACAAAGTTACCGATTTATTGTACAACAGAATAATAATGAATAGACCCACCATAAATTATTCCCGATTTTTGATATTTACCAATAAATCATAATGTTTTAAACACACCGATAAGGAACCGAACATATTATTAACCTAAAATCGATAGAAAAATTTCCGATCAGATAATGGATCGATACAATTATAAATTAACCCAAACCGATAATGGATCCATAAATTTAATATTACCGATACCATTATGGTACCAAGAATTATATTAAAGAACACCCATTATTACACCAACGGTGTCATGTTAAAATCTAGGGGCCCTCAATGCATTATTCCAGTCAGAGATGACACCTTAATACATCAACCGACCTCCTTTAAGTTCATATTTTCTCTCGTACACGAACTCATAAAATTTTAATTTCTAGAACAGGTCAGGTAACATGGTAAATGACTGAGTAAAAGGAATCATATGAACTTACTTGTCGTGGCAGCTCTCAGTTGAATGACAGGAACATTTGCTTTTTTCTCTGAAAACCAAAGTATAAAAAATTTAAAACATGATCAGGTTGAAATGCATATGATACATTTAACGCTCAAAATAGAGAGCGACACCGGTCGGTCTCTTCAAGAAATTGGAGAAGACGACATATCTTTGGATAATATATTTTCAACATTTTGATACTGATACATATTAAATTTACAAATAACAGCTCTGAATTCTTATAAATTACAAAGGATAGTTCGAAATTTACGCCGTGTTAACTAACATTCTAAACACTCTAACAGTTCTAAATTAATCTCGTAAATACACAAGGATTAACAACTCTTCTGTTTTTGTAATATTGTACATAATACATACCTGGTGGCGGAACACCTGCTATATCATCCACAATCTGTAATAAGAAATAAATTAAATGTGATTATGGTTTAAAACCAATAAATCCAAAATATAACCAATCATCCTGTTATATTTTCCTTTCTAAGAGATCATTGACTCCAGCACGTCAAGTGTTGAAAATTGAGTACCGCTCAATTAGGTGCTAGGGGGCGTGACGGATATTGCACGCCATTTTATGCCATGTACAGACTCACAATTTTCTTGTTATTTTGTTGTTTCAGTGCTTCAGGGATCGCCCCCTTTGAGGAGTCTGTGATAACCACGTGGTAAATGTTTTAAAACAAGTGGTAAACAGAGTAGTTAATTTACACATTAATATGATGTATGATATAGATAAGACCGTATGACTGTACACTGAAATTATGGCATTGATTAGTTTCGAATGACGTACTGAAAATGAACATTCTTCATTAACTGATTGGATCTACTATTTCGAAAAGGAATACAAGGCCAGCCTTAAAATTATCCTTGTTTAAGGCCAGGTTTTGGTAGAGTATGTAGGTACTGTAGGTAAAATATTTTATTAAATGAACATACATGTATATGAATTACATGGATTTAAAGAAAGAAGAAAATTTGACTGGTTCAGTCAAGAAGCAAAATATTAGAAGTTTTATACCTAGTTAGTATATTTGCAATGGAGAGTTAAAAACGATAGCATTCTCGGTGACTTTTCTCCCCTATTCTCCCCTATTATTATTTTTAGTTTTATAGATTTTTTTGGGTAGGTACATTGTATAGGAACGGGAAACAAACAAATTGATATATTTTATGTTTTGGCTGAATTTGAAGAGTCGTTATTTAAATATCGTACAGTATATTACCTGGATTTCCTGACTTGCTCACTATACTGGCGCATGTTGAGGCCATAGGTTGAAAAAAAGGAAATAAACTCACCTCCAGAAGTATTGGTAGTAATTTTTCGGCCGACTTAATACAACACTGTCCGTCTTTGATGGAAACTTCACTAGAATTCACCACTTCATTTAGATTGTTGCATTTCACACAGAACTCGGAATGCACTGCACTGGCAAACTCTCCTCCTTCGTTCAGGTTCGCGGCTTTACTAACTTCTTTTTCCTGATTTATGGCAAAATATACGTAAGGCAGTCCGAATGTGTTCAGCAGAATGAGTATCACATTGAAAATCAGTAATATATAGAACCCATTCCGGTAAAACGAATTTTTGCAAAAGTCGAAACATTTTTTCTGGCCTTGACTTATATTAAAAGGTTCATTATCCCGCATGACATCAGCATATGCGTTATATTTATCGCCAGAATTCGCGGACATGTTTTTCGCCTTTCTTAAATTGTTCCTGTGAATTTGTGTTTCAGTCACCGGATGTAAGTAATTTGAATCATTTGAAGTCATGTGTACAACTGTTTGTACTGGAGGATTATTATTTAACATATTTTGTGCTGCATTTTGCGAATTAAGAGACTCGTACAGATGACTATCAGACCGGTTCTGTACACTATTAACGCGCAAATATGTCGCACTCTGAGATCGTCTGCTTTGAAGAATTTGTGTTTCAGTCACCGGATGTAAGTAATTTGAATCATTTGAAGTCATGTGTACAACTGTTTGTACTGGAGGATTATTATTTAACATATTTTGTGCTGCTTTTTGCGGTTGAAGAGACTCGTACAGGTTTTGTACACTATTAACGCGCAAAGATGTCGCACTCTGAGATCGTCTGCTTTGAAGAATTTGTGTTTCAGTCACCGGATGTAAGTAATTTGAATCATTTGAAGTCATGTGTACAACCGTTTTAACTGGAGGATTATTATTTAACATATTTTGTGCTGCATTTTGCGATTGAAGAGACTCGTACAGGTTCTGTACACTATAAACGCGCAAATATGTCGCACTCTGAGATCGTCTGCTTTGAAGAATTTGTGTTTCAGTCACCGGATGTAAGTAATTTGAATCATTTGAAGTCATGTGTACAACTGTTTGTACTGGATGATTATTATTTAACACTTTTTGTGCTGCATTTTGCGAATTAAGAGACTCGTACAGGTTCTGTACACTAGTAACGCGCAAAGATGTCGCACTCTGAGATCGTCTGCTTTGAAGAATTTGTGTTTCATTCACCGGATGTAAGTAATTTGAATCATTTGAAGTTATGTGTACAACTGTTTGTACTGGAGGATTATTATTTAACATATTTTGTGCTGCATTTTGCGATTGAAGAGACTCGTACAGGTTCTGTACACTATTAACGCGCAAAGATGTCGCACTCTGAGATCGTTTGCTTTGAAGCTGTTGAGCATCATTCCGTCTGATAAGTTCGTCTAATAGTATTTGCCTCTGAATATCGTTCTCATGACCGTGAATTTGCGAGGTTTTGTTTCTCCTCAGTTTTGATTGAAAAATACAATTATTTCGGTCACATGCTTCGTCAAAAGGTTGTTTATTGTATGAAAGAGCAAAAGTGTCGAGCCTACTCTCTGTAGCTCGATGGCTGTTGTTTGTTCCAGCAAAATTATTATCATACTGTCTAGGATTCAATTGCTGTGCCGGCGTGTCTCCTTTCACTCTTTCCTTTTCAAAGGTGTCGTCATCATCAATGCTCCATGAAACTTGGTGTTTTCTAGCAGGTTGCCTCTTAGCACGTTTTGTTTGAACAAACTGATTAACAGAAGAGGAATCGGAGTAGTTGTCTGTAAAATTACTAGATAATTCAGTGGTCTGAGTAACATTTGAAAGGTTTGTTATTCCAGACGATTGTGAGACCTCACTCTCCAATCGCCGCCTTTTTGTCTTTGATTCTTCTCGTTTCTTATTCATATTCAAGATTTTTAACACATTTATATATATCTATATCAAAGAGTTTTTTTTAGTTTTTGTCACTTAAAACATACTGTTGTTGTAATATGGACTTTTTCCAACCCATCTATGACCATTTGATTTAAGTTCAAGCTTCTCCTTGTCTTTTGGTTTAATTTCAGTTTCCAGAAATTAAGATCTGTATTTCCATAATTCTATTTATTTTTGGTTGCATTTGCACGTTATCTCATGAAACAGACTGTTGTTATTTCTCAAACCTATTTAGATTCGATATTTGGCTTTCTCTCAAGAGATTTCTGAAAATACAGGTTATAAATTGAGGTATGCATCATTACATATCACCTAATTCTCTGACATCTTTTTAAAATAAATATAGAAATATATATCTTGCAGATCAAATACATTTCTTCATAACTATTTCTTTATGTTATACATTGTAAGATTTATTATGCATGTATATTTTTTCAGTTATTTGTAATTAAAAATTGCATGAATGATATTTATGATTCAAAAACGTGTGTTTGTCAAGACCAATCAAATTGGGTTTGTTGTAGGACCAAAATTGATTCACTCAATGGAATAGTTTGATAATGTTATTTTTTTGTCAATGATGATGGTAATGTTGTAGCTGTTGTTGTTTGTAGGGGTGTTGATGATGATGTTGTTGATGATGATGATGATGATAATGACGTCAATACTGATGAAACTATTTTCAAGAGTTTATTTACGGTCCGTTAGTGTATGCGTCTCTTTCGTATATACCTAAAATGTGATGTCTATATTTACTCCTAACCATTGCTGTAGCCAAACATGATATCAACTTTTGCCAACAGTAAAGAGACCACGCTAGCTTGTGATGTAAACATTATTATGTTATATATTTGAAAGGGAAGTTTAACAAATTCTTTAAAGGCACATGCCAGTAATTTGATATTTTTATCACTGAATGTTTGTCATCGATACTTCGACACAAAACGGAAAAAAATACTGCACCAGTAAATTGAACCGAAAGAGAATAGCGGAAACTTTACTTTTTTAATTTTCAAACCCCCGCCCTCTGGGGGGGGGGTAGATAGAACATTAAAGCAAGCTACATGCACACGCACTACGATTTAGACCACCGCATCGACGTAAAGCCTGTTTTGGGTATTTGAATGTATCCATGCAAGACAAAGATCAGCTGGCGTATCAGTTCAAGTAGATATTGGAGCCAATATAACCCGATGCATACATACATTACCTAGTACGGAAATTAAAATTCCGGATGATTTTCAATGTCATAATCATTTCAAGTTAATTATAATTTGAAATGACTTAGCATATGTTTACAATCATTACACTGAAAATCAGCTATTTCCAGAAGAGACATTGCATGGTAACCTTTTCTGTCCATATATATTATCATATCCGGATTTGGGCCCGGGACGATGGTTGTCATATGTTCCCTTAACTTTCCTTCATAAGACCGCGCATGTACATGTCATTTAATCTCGGGAATTATTCATAATAATCCCGGATCAAGTGTAGTTCTACCATGTGGGTTTTCGGCGTAAACAAAAACAGAGAGTGTTACCTTTGATGTATATATGACAGTTAAAGCTTTGGTACAAACATGATTGAACATATGCCCGACAATCATAATCAATTTAAATGCCCACTGATAAACGAATGCGGATAAATGCCAACAGACATTCGGTTTTTACAACCATAATAATAATGATCAATAAGTATATAAATAATGTACTGTTCACTTTTATATCTATAAATTTACTTAAGTTGGACTTTAATTCGATATATTGGAATCAACTTAGTCTACAACTTTTAGCATTAAATTACTACTTGTTTTGTGTATTCTTACTATTGTGTTCGAGGTTCTAATCAAAGGGGACAGACGTTGTCATATAGATACATATATAAACATATATTTTTATCGTCATAAGTGCTTTAGTTTTCTGTACGAAATCTGCTGTGGTCATAGTATTATTCCCTGCGGTCCGGAGACCGCAGGGTATTGGTACGCGTTTAACTTTTGAGGCATGGAGGAGCACGTGACCTGTTTTCGGTACATGGAGGAGCATGTGATCTGTAAACCGTACATGATTGGTTAATTGATCTTTTCGAAAACCTGGCTAAATACCGTCTGCCGGTCCGTTACGGATTTACCTCTAGGGAATTAGTCAGAATTACACCTAATTAAGAACAAAAAAACTATTACGTGATATTTCTGATTTTCTATTATCATTTTACCGTTTAAGGTGGAAAAACTTGAATGATGTGAACATTATCAATGTTTCTTTCATATGTATCTCCAATTTTACAAACAATAAATTGTTTATACTGAAAATCTACAAAGTTAAAATATTCGTAGTGGCATCTGCCATAATAAATAGAGATATTTTCTGCGTAAACTTGTGTGTTTACTTATTTTTTTTTTTTGCTCATTTAATCATTTTCTTCAAAAGAAATAATTGTTTTATGTTCAACCTTCTCCGGTCATCAACAATCGCCAGTTTCCAAAGACCTTCTTCTATATTGATCGATTATTGTCGACTAAATTCCTGATACAAACGTTTATTTATTCCCCCCCCCAAAAAAAAAAAAAAAAATATGTTGAAAATAGTTAAATGAAATATCTTTATCTCATTAAAAATGTTCCCCGCAGGAAACCATTTTACTTGTTTTTACAATAGGTTAAACTCTTACATTTGGTTTGCTATTTCTAATCATGGTGATGCAACTACATAGTTAGGTTAAGAAGCAGACGCTTGTTTTGGTTGAGTCTATTTTGTTTTTTTAGGGGGTGAGTTGTCATACACAAATTTACAATTTGTTTGCATGTATTTTTTTCCAAACAAACTTTGAATTGCAAGTATTTTGTCATATCTTTTCGGCAGAGGAGGGCCAGGCATTTTCGTATCGTAAAATGGCTGCCATTTACAGTATCAAGTGATTATCCAAGCACCACCGCGACTTAGCGCGGGAATTATAAATATAGCTAACCTCGGCTGGAAAATACCTTTTTTCTTATTTTATTGTAATAAATATTTACAAACTGTGTCTTTCGGGGTTTTTTTTATCAATATATAACCAATTATGATGTTTATATGAATAAATAATCATATCTCAAATCTGCGACTGTGACTTACAATGAAATTCTACCTTACCAATTCTACCAAAAAGTCTTCACAAAAAGTAGAATCTAGTATGCAATCGTACCTATATTACATATGAATGTATGTAATATTTTTTTTGTTTATCAACCCCTTGTATTACTGCATGCTTTAACGCTCAGGAAAAACGCTCAGAAGAAAAACGATGGAAACAAGTCTGTAGACATACATCAATTTAATAATGCTATGAAAAATCAGTACCTTTTTCTTCCATTTTCATTTCATCTTAACATTCCTTTCACTTCATTTTCACTTTTAATTTGCAGAATAACACAACAAAATACAAAGTATACCCAGATGTAAGCTAACTATAATACCCCATGAATATAAACATAGACGATAAACGTGAAAGGTTTGCGGTTAACCCGGCGCGATTTTTATTTGTTTGGGTCGTCAGACCAAACAAATAATGGTAGCGAAATTTCAGACCCTGATGTGCTTAATTGCAAATACCGAAAGTAGTCCATACTCCTCAAAGCGGTTACCTACCTTTATATGTACACAACCGCCGAAAAATTAAGGGGAGATCACTGCGTAAAGATTGTCAAATGACAGGCTTGATAAATGATTATTTACATCAGTGTTAAGCATCAGGTTTACCGTGAACAAAATATATCGAAATTAATAACGGTTACAAACCCTAATTTGGAATAATATGGTTTTCTTCAGGCTGTTATCTTGGTCGCGGGTTTTACACGCTCGTTTTTTTTCAAATCCCAGTTAAGGCAACTCATCTCATTTTGTTTTTTGTTTTTGTTTAATTGTTTATGCAAAATAAACATTGAATTGAATAACAGTGTTGCAATTAGTCTTATAGCAAATTTACTATAGTTATAACACTGGAAACAGCATTGGTGACACTTTACAAACAAATTGGTTTATAATCTCACAACCTTCACATTTCTGACATTCTGAGACCAAAACGAATTCAGCGCCTTCTGTGCTTTGATTATCTATATCACTCTATATTTCCCCTATATCACCCCTTTATCGTTTAAATAAGAGACAATGAAAGCTAAATGTTCAAAACTTTAATAAAATAAGATAACTGATTTACCCAATCAAAACAAGTTTTTTAGATGGATAAATGAAACAAAAATAAACATAAAAAAGAAGAGTAAATATATGCATAGGTTTACGTACCTGCAATGGATTTACCCCTCCCAAAATTTTTAAACGATATAAATGTCCGTCTGCTACGACGAAATGCGTGTAACAACTGATACTAGTCTAAAATAAAATAGGGAAGTCCCGAAAATATTCACGTATCTGTAATGGTATAATATTACGCCCTCGTGATATAATTCCTCGCATCCGAACTCCAAACAGTGATGTTATTGAGGGATAAAATCACTGTTTGGGAAATATTATTTCTTAGGCAATTTTAGCAAACTTTAATAATTGGATCTTCGAGGTCAAGGTCATTTTAATGTGTTGGATGGTCCAACCAGAACATTTATAACCTGTGTTGGTATCGCCTGTTAACATACGATATAGTTTTTTTTTCTTCGTTTTTTTTTGTTTTGTTAATTCAGTATAATGACGCGGAAACCCTCTCTCAATATGTATATACTGCATAACTAATCGGGGGCCCCGCTCGAGATCTGGGTGGGACATGCAAATTATATAGTCTCCGTTTAGTATTGAACACTCCCACAAATTTTGATTGAAATCCAGTCAGTAATTGCCGAGAAATTGCGCAGAAACAAAATTCGGACGGATGACTGATGGACTGTTAGACAAACGGACAAAAGCAGTACCTCCCACCTCTCGATCTCATAATTATTATATACGTTGAAATATGACTCTTTTTCAAAACGTCTTAAATTAAGTTTTTTCATATATATGATCAGTACATGTTCTGGGATTGACAAATATACATTTATTTTGCACCCCAAGTGTCTGTGAGATTAACACATGCATGAATCAAAAGTCCTTGTCAAGATTCGAACCCACAGTGGTGAAGGCCAATTGTTTTGAAGTCAACGACTTTAACCACTCGGGCACGGACACCACAGGACTGTATTTTGTATAGGTTTTCTAAATCCTATCGTATATCAGAACAGACATCGTGATAATTCACGTGCGTTAAGAACTTCAACTTCCCGACAGTTCAGTTCAGTTTACATTATATATAGAAAAATCAGGATCGGTTTTAAAGCGGAAAAAATGTGCGTAGCCAATGGTGTGTACTTTCAGTATAATGACGCGTTGATGTGAAAAATGTAGACCTATTATCAATCACTGGTAAAATGGTTTACTGATTTTATAAGCCGACACCTATTAAGTTTGTTGTTGTTGTTGTATTGTTTTTTTGTAAAGCCTTACATTTAAAATGTGATATTGAAATAATATTATTCGCATTAATGTGTTTAAAGATACTCTTTTTGTTGTATATATCCATCCAAAAGATACATCAGGGGGTCGCCAGAAGGGGGATGTGGCCCCTTATGTTTGGGTAATAATTTAACGTGTAACCTACGCTGAAAACCCTTTGACATTGAGAAGTTGCAGCACTTTGAAATCAATTTTGATGAAATCAACGCAAAATAGTGATTTTTGACAATTTTGAGATGTCCCCTCATTGTCATTGGAACAGGAAATTTAAGACTGAGCATGTCGTTACAAAAGCAATGGCCCAGTTAACATTTGTGCCAAGTTTGATTAGTATTGAAGCATTTTTGATAGTTTTATAGCAATTTGAACTTGTAACTGGAGACTTTTCAATGAAAACAGCCATTCTTTACAAAATGCTCATGAAATAATGGGTTAATCTTACCTTGTGTTTGACGTATAATTCTAACTTACACCCTTCCTACATTTTCATGCAAGTTAATTATTCATTGAAGGCAAATAAAGTTTCAGAAATGAATTCATTTTGTCTGTAGAAAGGTAAAAACATGCTTTATAATAACGATTGTTTAGGAATTAGTGAGATGTTTATAACTTGAAGAAAAATAATTCCCAATGTGAAATCATTTCTGATAAAAGGAGCATTATATAAACAAAAATTTATCTTTATGTCTTTTTATTTGGGGGGGGGGGGGAGTAATACCGCACCAACACAGTTAACGTAATATGGCGACTTTCAAGTTTTACTAGTGGAGGAAGACTTCAGGTGCACCTAAGTGCCTTATTTCAGACACGACCTGGCATCCCAGTAGAACCACCAATATTTCGTAAGCTAACTGAATAGCCATCTAACATGAAAGAAACCAAAGTCTCGGGCGGAATTCGAACCTACAGTGGCAAGGGACATGTGGTTTGAAGTTAATGACTTTAATCGCTCGGCCACGGACGCCCCATACAAACACTCACTCACTGTAACTGTACAAATTGCAAAAACGCAAATGAAGCAATAGATGGCTCAGATATAACTGTAACAGGACATAAAAATAAAAAGCCTTTTATTCTAAAATATTAGCATTTTATTTGAGAATTGATAAGTAACGAAGACCAAAGGATTGGCACTAAAATTTCAAACAGAAAGTTCCATACTCAAGGTTGAATGATTATATCTGCGGTTGTTACTTTAATTACCCTCTTCAGATTTAAACGTGCAATATTGCTTACTTCGGTGCTTAACACTGCTGCCCACAAGCAGGGTTTACCTCACAGATACTGTGCAATGTGTTCGTTTTGATCTCGTTTGGTATTTTGTTATGTTTTCATTATGTATTATTCAATGAACAGGGAATAAAATAAACAGATGCCACATAATTTTTAAAATGACCATGTAAAAATTAAAAAAGAACAACAAAGAACAGGAAAAAGATACAAAAGATACCTAAAATATTACATTGTTTAAGAGTAACTATTACCATACTTGCGAGTAAGATTACTTCCTTTTCATTTTCTCACATCATATTGAGTTACTTTAAGATCTATTAAGCCTCAAAAATGCTATTGTTTATGTTTTCGAAAAGCATTATTAAATAATGTATTACAGATTCGAAAATGCCACTCTTTTGAGTACATAGCTTGACAATATCCAGCTTCTTTTACAACACAGAACAGAAAAGAATTTTATTTACAGATTTATACATATGTACATCGTCTTGTTAACAAAATATTTGATTAAACATAGTCACATGGCATGCAAAAACATACAAATTATAAACAACATATTTAAATAAATAAACAATGATTAAAGAGGACAAAATTTATGCAAGAAGATAAAAACAATTCAATTATGTAAAGAGTTAATGATTGTGTTTCTCAACGATAATGATTCTTGGATATATTTTGATAACTTAATTAAAACAGTTTTATTTTGCGTTGGAAGTAGATCTATAAATTTACAGATTGTCTAACATAATAACATTTTTTAAGATACTGCATTCGAAGACTATTAAAACAAGGGCATACACATATAAAATGATATTCATTTTCTATGTCAAATGTATTGCAACATAGACAATATCGCTGATCACGAGGTGTATTATTCCTATTGTATCTCCCAGTCTGTATTCTTAAAGGATGTACAGATAATCTAAATCTACAAAAATAATATCTATATTTACAAGGCAGAATATCAAGATAACTTTCATAACTGAAATTAAGCTTAAAATTCTTGTAATTAAACAAAACAGGGCTACGTTCTAACGTAGCTGTCCATTCTTGTATAAAAGTGTCTATAACTCTACTTTTAAAAATGATAGGGAACACTTTTGCATCAACGCAATTTTCAATAAAAATTTCAGCAAAACCATAATTACAGAGTAGCTTTTCAACACTTGAAACCCAATTGCGGTGTCCTTTATTACAATCAGATAAACAATCTTCATACCTAGTTTTTAAAACAATATTATCAGTGTTTTTCAACTTACACCAAAACTTGACAATTCTTACGTAACGAGTCACATACAGCGGAGAACGTATAATGCAGCAGAACAAGTATTTGTTCTAACATTAAGCAAACGTTTACAAAATTTCAAGTGGATTCTTTCCAATTTTTTAGATTTCGTGTAACCCCAAATTTCAGACCCATATCCTAAAATAGACCAAATGAAAGCATCAAATAATTGACATGATATCTTAGGTTTAAGATCAAACTTTCTACAATTGTAAATCAAAACATTAAGAGCTTTTAAAGCTTTCCCTACCAAGTGTTCCTGGTTAATCGAAAAATGCCTGTATAATTAAAAACAGTACCTAATTTTCCAAAATAATTAAAAACATTCATAACTTCTAAAATTTGGCCATCAAAGGTCCAGTTCTCATTTTGTAATAACCCCATCGTTTTCGAAAAAAGCATTACTTTTGGTTTGCTTGTATTTACTTTTAATCCCCATGTAGAGCAATATGAATGTAAAGATCCAAATGGTTTTGCAGTTCCAATGGTGACTTGCCTTAGATGGCCATATCGTCAAGAAATAACAATAAAATCAAAATAACGTCATCAAATGACAGTCCCGATTCATGATCAGTTTGCAAATATAACTCTAAATCCTCTACAAAGAGAGTAACTAAAATTAGTGAAATTACCTCCCCTTGACGTAACCCAATAGGCTAATAAACATAATCAGAAAAATTCGAACAAGATTTGACACAAGATTTAACTTTTTGATACATTCTCATATAATACGCAGCAATTTACCTTTTATTCCTAATTTATACATTTTCAGCCATAGTGCATTTCTATATATACTGTCAAAACATTTAACATTAAACAACATATAAACGTTTATTTTCATTAACAAATCTTTTGAATTAATGACATAAGAACAAAAATTGCATCGGTAGTAAACCAAATTGTGCATCTGATATGATATTGTTACTTTCAGAAAATGATTATATTCTAACATTAAGTAGAGTGGTAAATAATTTTGACAAACAACTAACTAATGTTATGCCTCTATAGTCCCTTCTTATGAAGATGGATTATAATTCCCTCTGTCCATTGTTCTGCATAAAAAAACAGAGTTTAACACAACATTAAATATATCACATATATGGGCACCTAAAATATCGAAGCTTTCTGTGAAGTATTCATTCATTAAACAATCACTACCTAATGATTTTCCACGTTTTAACATTTTTACGGCATTTTGAACTTCATTTAAAGTAATCGGTTTATCTAACTCATCATACTCAGTATTTATCTCATCAAAACAATAATCTTCACAAAAAAATTCAGCCTCAATATTGTACATTTTGATATATCATTACTTAAATTAGCAAAATATTCTTTAAAAACATCTATTGGAATATTGCTATTGTCTGCAGACGACTTATTTTTAAAATATTTCCAAAACTGCTTCGGTTTACTTTTTTTTTAAATTTTCTATATTGGACATCTTCTTACAATAATGTATTCTTTTCTTTTTACGAATAATACATTCCGTTTTATATTTACACAAATTTATTCTGTAGATATCATTATTATTTCTATTAAAACCTTTAAAGCATCTAAATACAAAGTTCTAGCATTGATACATTCTCTATCAAACCAGTCAGAGTATTCTATACACGAGCTATCACTAAAATAGACGTTATCGTTAAAAGTACAACATTTACCAAATACTAGTAATGGATCTGCCACATTGCGTAACACAGATGTTAAACTATTTACTATTTACACAGTCACGGTTAGACAAATCAATATTATCTATAATACTTTTAAAATTTAAAAATAAAAGAAATGACGTTTGAATAGTCTTCACATGAAATATGAAATAAATGAAAAATAAATGCGTTGATTGAGGTCAAATTTCTTACAAATAAAAGGTATTACAGCTGTTTTTTTTTGAAAAATCATTCAATACATATTAAATCACAATAAACAAGACAAACCTGAAAACATATTATGCCATTATTCCGCATAAACACAGATTCAACAAACGTTTTAATGACAATGAGAGAAATAAAAACCCGTGTCATTTTAAAAAGAACCAAACATGCCGAAATTGTACGAAATTTGCCGATGTTACACAAAGTATATCGAAGTTTAAATACGAAGTTTGCCAAAGTTATACGAAGTTTGCTAAAGTAATGCGAAGTTTACCGAATTTATACGAAGTTTGTCGAAATTAAGGCAACTAAGTTGCTACCATGAACCATCCAAATAGTGTATTTTCAGGAAGTAAATATTGTGGATAACGTAATTTTATGAAAAGTCTGTCGCCTTTCTTTAAATGGTGAATTGATCCAAGCTGATTTGCATGTCTGACGTCACCAGTATTGTTAGTAGGAAAACATCTTTGGACTACTTCATCTAGTGGACTTTCAGTGTCATCCTTTTTAGTTTTATAAATTGTATGTACGATGGTAAACTCTTCTGACTCGTCTTTGTATGCCGGAAGGTTATAATGTACTCGGCTGTACACATAATAATATCCAGTCTTTGGAACTTTTATTTCGTCGTCTGTAACATTGGAGCTAAAGTTCCCAACATCTGGCTTTTTTTGCCAAATAATTTTTGTCTGATTTTTGTTTCCTACAAATAGAGAAGAAAAATAGATACGCCAATGATGATGAACGTTTACAATTTAAACGAATTTTGTTTGTTTTGTTTGGTTTTGATTAACGACGCACCAACACAGTTTAGGTCATGTGGTGCCGAAATAGGAAAGATTATTTTGGCTATCATCGTGTGTTTCACCACCCATATTTAATATATTTTATCTAATAATACATGTGTATACAAAAATGTGGTGTTCACATCTGTATTATATTTGTGATTCAGTAACATAAATATGGTATTTATCTATATCAAAGAATACAATATTTATCTGCTACATGAAAAATGTATTTTGTATACCAATACACCGATAATGTATATGGAAGGGTATTAACGCAAAAATTACATCTTGTCTTCTTACGTTACATTGTGCTTTCTAACTTGTACATCTTGGATTCTTACTATTACATTTTGCATTATGACATGCACACAATGCATTCTGGCTTGCACATCTTGCATTATGACTTGACATTTTGCTTTAAATTGCATGAATCGTTCGTTATTTAACTATCTTCAAATTTGTTTACGTTAAAGTTTTATGTTTGATGCTAAAATCAGTTCAGTTTAACTATAATGATCGTAAACTGTCTACATTTAATGTGTACAAAAATAGGAAACCTATATGTTAATCGATTATACATGTATAAAAAATACATGGAAGCACGCACTGTGTGCAGATTGCAAACTACACTCTTTTTTACGACAGAGGGCGCAAGTTCGGAAACATGTACGGAACCATACAGAAATTACCGAAAATATACGAGTATCCGGAATATCGATCTCCTTCCATACCCAAGCACTTTGAATAACTGATCTATTTTATAATTATTTTGTTGATAAAAAATAATTCTAAAATCATTGATTTGGAAATGTGCTACTTGTCATTGTCAGCTGGAAATATAATTTGAACCACACAGTTTCAGTAATAAATATAAAAATTGGTTAAATCGTTTTGTATGTATGTTTACCTTATTTGCTTCATAGTGGAAATGGAAATTTTAAAACAAAGGGACGTAACTTGGTAAACTGAATCCGAACCGCAATACGGACTTTACCGAGAATATAACTATAGCGCCACCTGTTGGCATAATTTGGGTGTCACATATTATTACACCAGATGTCGCGTCGTATTATGCTTGCTGCATTCGGCTTTCGGCTATGCGTCATTCTATCTTATGACATTCGTCATTCAAGCTGAGTAAATAGACCTAAATACAAACAGTTGCAGGTTAAGTAATTGAATTAATATACCAGATCAACAAATGAATAATAATTGATCGTTAAATAATGATATCAGCAGACAATTAAGCAAGACGCACACAACAGAAAGCATAATGTGCATGTAAGAAAGCAACATGTAAAAGTCAGAATGCAAGATGTACAAGTCAGAATGCAAGATGTACAAGTCAGAATGCAAGATGTACAAGTTATAAAGCAAGATGTAACGTAAGAAAGCAAGATGTAATTTTTGCGTTAATACCCTTCCATAAATGTATACCGTTTACCGATTATGTTTACAGACAGAATAATGATGTATATAGACACAACGATAATGTATTCCGATTTATCGATATTTACCATAACATCGATAATGTTTACAGACACACCGATAATGTATACCGATACACCGATAATATATACCTACACATCGATATTATATACCAATACACCGATAATGGATACCGATACAATTATAATATATACCGATACACCGACAATATACACCAACGGTGTCTATTGAGTAAAATCTCAGGTGCACTCTAATGCATTATTTCAGCCAGAGATTACACCTTAATACAACGACCGGCCTCCTTTAAGCCAGCCTGATAGGTTCATATTTTCTCTCGTACAAGAACTCATAAAATGTTTATTACTAGAACAGGTCAGGTAACATGGTAAATGACCTAGTAAAAGCAATCATATGAACTTACTTTGCGTGTCAGCTCTCAGTTGAATGACAGGAACATTGGCTGTTTTCTCTGAAAACCAAAGTATAAAAAATTTAAAACATGATCGGTTTGAAATGCATATGATACATTTAACGCTCAAAATAGAGAGCGAAACCGGTCTGTCTCTTCAAGAAATTGGAGAAGACGACATATCTTTGGATAATATATTTTCAACATTTTGATACTGATACATATTAAATTTACAAAGGACAGCTCTGAATTCATATAAATTACAAAGGATAGTTCGAAATTTACGCCGTGTTAACACTCTAACAGTTCTAAATTAATCTCGCAAATAAACAAGGATTAACACCTCTTCTATTTTTGTAAGATTATACATTATACATACCTGGTGGCGGAACACCTGCTATATCATCCACAATCTGTAATAAGAAATAAATTAAATGTGATTATGGTTTAAACCAATAAATCCAAAATATAACCAATCATCCTGTTATATTTTTCTTTCTAAGAGATCATTGACTCCATCCAGCACGTCAAGTGTTGAAAATTGAGTACCGCTCAATTAGGTGCTAGGGGGCGTGACGGATATTGCACGCCATTTTATGCCATGTACAGACTCACAATTTTCTTGTTATTTTGTTGTTTCAGTGCTTCAGGGATCGCCCCTTTTTCAGAATTTTGAGAGGAGTCTGTAATAAACACGTGGTAAATGTTTTAAAACAAGGGGTAAACAGAGTAGTTAATTTACAAATTAATCGGATGTATGGTATAGAAAAGACTGTAAGACTGTACACTGAAATTATCGCATTAATTAGTTTCGAATGACGTACTGAAAATGAACATTCTTCATTAACTGATTGGATCTACTATTTCGAAAAGGAATACAAGGCCAGCCTTAAAATTATCTTTGTTTAAGGCCAATTTTTGGTAGAGTATGCAGGTACTGTAGGTTAAATATTCTATTAAATGAACATATATGAATTACATGGATTTAAAAAAAAGAAGAAAATTTGACTGGTTCAGTTATGAAGCAAAATATTAGAACTTTTCTAAAAGATTCTCGATGACGTTTCTCCCCTATTCTCCCCTATTATTAATTTTAGTTTTATAGATTATAGGAACGGGAAACAAACAATATTTTATGTTTTGGCTGAATTTGAAGAGTTGTTATTTAAATATAAAACTTAAGTTGCGTACAGTACATTACCTGGATTCCCTGACTTGCACACTATACCGGCGCATGTTGAGGCCATAGGTTGGAAAAAAAGAAGAAATAAACTCACCCCCAGAAGTATTGGTAGTAATTTTTCGGCCGACTTAATACAACACTGTCCGTCTTTGTAGGAAACGTCACTAGAATTCACCACTTCATTTAGTTTGTCGCATTTCACACATAACTCGGAATGCACTGCACTGGCAAACTCTCCTCCTTCGTTCAGGTTCGCGGCTTTACTAACTTCTTTTTTCTGATTTATGGCAAAATAGACGTAAGGCAGTCCGAATGTGTTCAGCAGAATGAGTATCACATTGAAAATCAGTAATATATAGAACCCCTTCCGGTAAAATGAATTGTTGCAAAAGTCATAACATTTTTTCTGACATTGACCTATATCAAAAGGTTCATTATGTTGCATGACATCAGCATATGCGGAAGATTCATCGCCAGAAATCGCGGACATGTTTTTCGCCTTTCTTAAATTGTTCCTGTGAATTTGTGTTTCAGTCACCGGATGTAAGTAATTTGAATCATTTGAAGTCATGTGTACAACTGTTTGTACTGGAGGATTATTATTTAATATATTTTGTGCTGCATTTTGCGATTGAAGAGACTCGTACAGATGACTATCGGACCGGTTCTGTACACTATTAACGCGCAAAGATGTCGCACTCTGAGATCGTCTGCTTTGAAGCTGTTGAGCATTATTCCGTCTGGTAAGTTCGTCTAATAGTATTTGCCTCTGAATCTCGTTCTCATGACCGTGAATTTGCGAGGTTGTGTTGCTCCTTAGGTTTGATTGAAAAATACAATTATTTCGGTCATATGCTTCGTCAAAAGGTTGTTTATTGTATGAAAGACCAAAAGTGTCGAGACTACTCATTGTATCTCGAAAAACTCTCCGATGGCTGTTGTTTGTTCCAGCAAAATTATTATCATATTGTCCAGGATTCAATTGCTGTGCCGGCGTGTCTCCTTTCACTCTTTCCTTTTCAAAGGTCTCGTCATCATCGAATTCGAAGTTCCATGAAACTTGGCCTTTTGTAGCAAATTGCCCCTTAGCACCTTTTGCTTGAACACTTTGCATCTGCTGGATTGTGGCGCCATTTGTTGTACTCAGATGTCGGCCGTTGCGAGCGTCAAACTGATTAACAGAAGAGGAATCGGAGTTGATGTTTTCAAAATCACTAGTTAATTCAGTGGTCTCAGTAACATTTGAAAGGTTTGTTATGCCAGACGATTGTGAGACCTCACTCTCCAATCGCCGCTTTTTCGTCGTTGATTCTTCTTGTTTCTTATTCATATTCAAGATTTTTAACACATTTAAATATATCTATATCAACGAGTTGATTATTATTTAGTTTTTGTCACTTAAAAAATACTGTTGTTGTAATATGGACTTTTCCAACCCTCCTTTAACCATTTGATTTAAGTTGAAGCTTCTCCTTGTCTTTTGTTTTAATTTCAGTTATAAATTGAGGTATGCATCATCACATATCACCTAATTCTCTGACATCTTTTTAAAATAAATATAAAAATATATATCTTGCAGATCAAATAAATTTCTTCATAACTATTTCTTTATGTTATACATTGTAAGATTTATTATGCATGTATATTTGTTCAATTATTTGTAATTAAAAATTGCATGAATGATATTAATGATTCAAAAGGAGTGTTTGTCAAGACCAATCAAATTGGGTTTGTTGTAGGACCAAATTAATTCACTCAATGGAATAGTTTGATAATGTTATTTTTTGTCAATGATGATGGTAATGCTGTAGCTGTTGTTGTTGGTAGGGGTGTTGATGATGATGATGATGATGATGATGATGACGTCAATAATGATGAAACTATTTTCAAGAGTTTATTTACGGTCCGTTATTGTAACGCATTAACAGCTTTCGCCTCTTTCGTATTTTCCTAAAATGTGATGTCTATATTTACTCCTAACCATTGCAGTAGACGAAAATGATATAAGCCCACCAGTAAAGAGACTATGCCAGCTTGAACGTCCGTGCACTCTGGTCAGCCTCTAAACTGTCAGAAATTCAAGCTTTGTATTTTGTTATTGAATTCAATTAAACATTAAATAGAATGTTCGAAATTCAAACTAGGCAAATCCATTACATTAAGTGTTAAATTTCAAGCAAGATAAAGTGCAGGGCAGCTATCCTATATACATACATGTATAGATAATGTTGAATTACATTTCCAGGACAAGTTTTTCGGAAAAAAAATACTGCACCAGTAAATTGAACCGAAAGAGAATAGCGGAAACTTTACTTTTTTAATTTTCAAACCCCCGCCCTCTCGGGGGAAGGGTAGTTAGAACATTAAAGTAAGCTACATGCACACGTACTACGATTTAGACCACCGCATCGACGTTAAGCCTGTTTTGGGTAACTGAATGTATCCATGCAACCAGACAAAGATCAGCTGGCGTATCAGTTCAAGTAGATATTGGAGCCAATATAACCCGATGCATACATACTTTACTAAGTACGGAAATAAAAATTCCGGATGATTTTCAATGTCATAATCATTTCAAGTTAATTATAATTTGAAATGACTTAGCATATGTTTACAATCATTACAATGAAAATCAGCTATTTCCAGATGAGACATTGCATGGTGACCTTTTCTGTCCACATATATAGTCAAATCCGGATTGGGGCCCGGGACGATGGTTGTCATATCCATAAAACCGCGCATGTACATGTCATTTAATCTCGGGTATTATTCATAATAACCCCGGTTCAAGTGTAGTCC